CCTCCAGCTCCTAGCCACCTCTTTCACTCTGTGTCACTGACATAGAGACTGAGTGGGTTCAGTGACGGCCTGTGAGGCTCCCATCTCCTATATGAGTGATAGTCCTGGCTGCTCCACTTCCACCTGGGAGAGACCTGGGTGGAGTTTCAAGCTCTTGGCTTCAGCCTGGTTGGGCATGCCACTGCAGCCATTCCGAGCATGTATCAGGAGATGGAAGATACGTCTCTGTCCCTCTGTGTTCCTTTCAAATAAATAATTTTAAAGCACATTTTAAAAATCAGCAGAATCATACAATTTGCTCTGTAGCTGGCTCATCTCACCCCACCTAACTCCAAGGTCCACCCCTGTTGCTGCATGTTTCCAAATCTCTTTTGTGAAAATAAGTATCTTCATTGGAAAGGCAGATTTCCAGAGGAAAGAAGAGAAAGATCTTTCATCCACTGGTTTGCTTCTCAAGTGATCTGAAACCAGGAACCTCTTCTGGGTCTCCCATGTGAGTGCGGGGTCTCAAGGCTTTGGGCCATTCTCTGCTGCCTTACCAGGGCATAAGCAGGGAGCTGGGTGGAAATTGGAGCAGCGTGGACATGAAACAGTGTCCCTAGGGGATCCTGGCACTTGAAGGTGAAGGATTAGCCAATCAAGCCTAAGTCCGAGCCCCCAAATCTGACCTTCATGGCTGAACTACACATGTTCACGTCACATTCCACTTACCCCCTCAGCTGTTGACGGGTATTTTCAGTGTCTCCACTGCTGGCCCTCAGGAACATTGCTGCGGCGACTCCAAGTCTACAGTTATCTGGTCCAGATGGTACTCTGTTTCTCTGGGCACAGAGCCAGCTGGGTAAGCACTGGCCCCTTGGCATCTCTTATTAACTTCCTGAGGACCCCCCACACCTCTCCTCTCCACCATTCTGCAGTCCCACCTGCCCATTCCAGCACCACCAGCAGGAGTCTTTGCCACATATCCTCGCCAACGCTTATTATTCCATTTTCTTGATACTGGCCTTGCTGATGGGGGTGAAATCATAGCTCATGGTGCTCCTGCCCTATCATTACGGCCTGCCATCCCATAACAACAAGACTTGGGAGCTGGTGACAGGGATAATTTGGGAGAAGCCAGCTGTCAGAACTGAATCAGGACTCAGGTTTACCCGTGTAAACAGCATATGTGACAAAGATTTAAACCACCGAAGCAGCATCATAACATGGTGAACACCAGGAACTCACATGTAGCGTAAGAACTACAGTGTGACCAGTTATGGGAGTCCTGGCTCCCTGGGTTCTCCTCTCTCGCCCCATCTCATCTATCCTGAGTCATCAGTGGTTAGAATTTAGTATTTCTTGCTCTCTTTACACCAACTGCAGCTAAAAAATACAGCTTTATACACAAGTACACATCCGCAATAATATTTATTTAGCTAATGTCTGGGCTTAACTAGAATCACATGACAGAACCATCTGCCACTTATCTTTGTACTTAACAATTTTCCCTAAGATTCCCCAAAATCAAGAAATTTGGGAACAAAACTCTTGAGTTGTGGGGTGTATACATGATTGATGTTTAAAGACAACACTATAATTTTTTCCCAAGGATGACCCTGTACCTGTTTAAGACCTTTCAGCTTTAATCGCTGCAGGCCTGAGAGGAGCCATCCATCCACAACTGCTCACCAAGCAGTGGTGAGATCAGATGGCATCTACAGTGGAAACCAGCAAAGAACCTGGGGCAGTGAGAACCCAGCCTCAGCATCGAGTGTGCCAGCCCTGCCCGTCTGAAGGAGGATGGACAGCTGCAGGGTCATCTGTCTGGAAATAGACCAGTCTTCTGGCAACCAGTGGGACATGTTCCACAATCTGGGTGCTCTCGGGGGCCATAGCTGCACTGGGACTGCACACCCTCTGCTGTCCCCAAGGGCTTGGTAAGAAACAGCTGGGTCTCCTATAGAAGCCATCTTCAGCCTAGAATCTGAACTCACAGCTCACATCCGGGCCACACAGAAGGAGCAAGGGACAGCTGCCAAGCCGCCGAACTAGTGAAGCTGCCTTCCCTTCCACACCCGGGTGTAGGATTTCTCACAGTTGTCTCTCTTCCAAGCCTCCTGACAGTGTGGCCCAGAGGTCACTCTGACCTGCAGCTTGTTTTCTCCAAAGGCCACTGAATGCCATACACGGATTTTCTTCCTTTCCTGGGAGAGGGACAGAAGCCTTGCTGATCGATGGAAGATGCCAAGGGGACAAGTGACCCCAGGAAGACAGTCTCGGGTCTCTTCACAGTGCTGACTGCTGCTGGTTTGCACAAAGGGAACATTTTTGGCAACACTCCAGGAAGGCCAAATTGTAAACACTGGCCACTTGGAACCTGGCTCCCCAGAAGCAAGTCAGATACTGGCCAATCCGTCTTGCCCTGCCACTGTGATCAGACAGGAAAACCCCATAGCCATTTGTGGAAAGGCCTTGCCAGCCAGGTTCTGGGCAAGCACATATTTGAGCTAACTGAAAAGCCAATTGCATGCCAAAAAAGAATGTTGGAACATGCACACCAAAGACTGAGCTGCCACGAGGGCTCTTACTGGCCACAGGAACTGTCCCTGAGGACAGCAGGACCCACGGTGACTGAGCTGATGGCCTCCTGCTGGCCTGATGTGCACTGGCAGAAAGGAACCATAAGGTAGTTGCGAGTCGAGTGGCTCACATGAAACCAGACACTCACAAGGGCAGACAGTATCAACACATCAGCAAGGCATTTTTGGAGCAGCTGGCCTTAGGCAGGGACCATGGAGACACCCCAGGTGCCCCAGCCAGCAAGTCCAGACAGAGGCTGATGCCAGTGCCACAGGGCAGAGTCCAAGGAAGACATGACTTGGCTGAACACATGTAAATGTCCTCAGCATACACCAGCTGTGCTCGGGGTATGTCACAGCCTCCACCAGAGGCTGCTGGCCTCCAAGCCGGGTCTTCCAGGAGTACTCAGCACCGTCCTGGCACCTGTCCTGAATCCTGCAGATGCCCCAGGATGTAATGCTGGAGGAAGCTATGTGGGGTCATACAGGAAATAATATAGCTAAAATCTAATCACCAATGAAGCCAGAGAGAACTGAAAAATATCTGTGCAAAAGAAATTAAGGATAACTTTATTTCAGGGCAAAACAAAAATAACCAAACAAAAACCAACATGGAAGGCCACTGAGGTCAACCCCCTCCTACCAAAAAAAAAAAATGCAGTTTTCATGATCTTTTTCAGAACCTCCTGCAACTGCAGCTAATAGGAGCAACGCATGGCTGTCACTCCTCCCACGACAGTACAGGGATGAGCTAGTTGTATACGTCCATGCATGCTCAGCACACCACTGCGCCCACACAGGATTCCTGTGTCCAGTGTGCTTCTCGTACTCTGCATTCTCACTGCTGACGAGTTCACAGTGAGCATCTGACCCAGTTCTGGCTACTGAGACACAAAGGCTGGTAAGCTAGGGAAGAGATTTCTGGGAAAGATTCTTCACATTAGCATGAGGCATCCCATCTGGAGCTACGTGTAGCCACAGTGCACAGAACTGTGGCAGCCATTGTGCCCCACAATGGCTACATTTTCCAGTAGTACTACATCATTTAGTTTCAAGGTAGTGTAGCAGGAGACCCAGCCAGTGGCCCACGTGTATAAGACAAGAAAAGCTGAGCATAGAGATGGGAAAAACCTCTAAGTTTGATGACACCTTTGAGAAAATGCATTAAGCAACTCTAGAGGTCCCCTCCTTCCAGACTCCCTCTTGTGTGAGTTAATGTCCTCCTGACTGCTTGAGCCAGCTGTGTCAGTGAGCATCACCCATATCCTAAAACACCCTATAGGTACCTCCTACCTAAGGCAACCACCTCACAAACAATATGAATCAGGGAATTTCAGAGGTCCCTAAATAAGCTGAATCACACAAGGCAAGAGCTCATTACCATTTCTCCAATGGCCAAGATGCAATTCAGCTAGCCCAGCGCTCCCTCCCTCATTATGGTGTACTGACATCTCATAAGCTGGGAGCAGGGCAGCTCCTGCACCAGGCTCTCCTGGCAAAATTGTGTGAACGGACAGTACGACAACAGGAGAATGGCCTCGCTTTTACTGCGAGAGCAGCATTTTTCCACAAAGTGTCATTCTGTTCTCCATGAGGTTTGGTTGCTGCTGCCTTCAGCATATACCACATGTATCTCATAAATGACTCTAAACAAGACAACCTGCTCTCTGCAGACCACTCACCAGCAACTGCCATGCACACATCATGCTCACGTGTTCAATACGGACCAAACACTGCGTTGCAAGGATCTCAGGTCCCCACTGCTTCCCCAAAACTCTTCTGGGAAGCTCCACCCACACACAGCATCACTGTTTCCAAGGCAACCAATGGATTTCATAATGAGCGGGACTGAGGAGAAAATCAAGAGCTTGGAAGGGGGTGGGGGGAGTGGATATACTCACAGAGCCAGAGCCAAGGGTCTAGAAACACAACAACAGGCAGAATTCCTAGTATATGAGGGGTCATCACTTATATCAAAACTGACACCTGGTTTAAACATGCAAAGCCAATATCCCTGTGTTGGGAGCTCACATGTCCTTCAAATATGCAGAGCTGCAAAACACAAGGGGAGGAGGAATCCCAATTTTCCAAGCACAGTACTCTTCTCAGATTTGGCCAACTGGAAGCAAGTTAGGAGGCTGAGTTAGGAAGTCTAGGAGAATCAAGGGAAAAAGGGGAGGGGGTGACATAAATCACAAATATTCCCTAAACCCAAGTGACACTAACTTCTTTCCACCAGGACCTGAAGATCCATGACAATGAAAAGGTGCAGAACAAATCAACCCATAGAACCCTGGCATTCAGTCTAAGAGCTATATGGTGGGCTCTCTGCTGGCCAGAGTGTCAAGGGACAGCCGTGCTACCTGCAAACCTGTGCTGGAGATACGCTGCGGTCTCCAGAAGTATCTCACCACAGGACTCCCATCCCACAACACTTACCATCCTCAAAGATGGCTCCGATCTCAAAAGACAATTCCGAGCTGTGCTCTGCCTCACACGGGTATACTGCTCGGGCCTTCCGATTGATAATGCTGCAGAGGCAACAGGAAAGGTACAAATCAAACTGTGTAAAACCACGGAGAGATGCAACCCTCCCTGCACCCTACCTGCCACTTCCCAGAGCTCATTCATATGTCACCAGTGGGGGGCAACTCCTCCCACAGAAGCAATTAACCAGGAGGTGAAGAGCAGGCAGGGCTGTTCCTTGATCTCAAGGAAGTGATGGGTGTCAAGTTCCAGCCTTTCCTCAGGAAGCCTCTTCACCTAATTCTCCTCCTTGTCAGGTGGGATGCTCTGTCCTCTCCATCAGCTCCAACAGAGTCTGGTCACACTCCAAGTACTTCAGTCATCCAGCAGGAGATGCAGCATGGTGTAGAGACAGAGGCACCGACTGCAAGGACCACCTGCTCTCCACATCCCTCTGGAAAGGGCCTGTGGCTCTAAGCTGGTCATCATTAGCGACAGCCCCAGGAGGCACAGGCGGCTTGGCTTTGTATTGCATGTCAAAAATCACCAGTGCCACCATGGGAAAGGGCACAGTGGAGAATGAAGGAAGCCAAGCTCTTAGATCAGAGGCACAGTAGAGGCAAGTACTCTGTGTCCCTGGAGGAGGCGACGCCACCTCAGCCCGGGCACAGGCAGAGGGGCTTGCTGTGGGCCAGCCTTCTATGTTCTCAAGGGAATCAGCCATCGCCCAGTGGCACACAGTCATGTGCCTGGCACCCAGTGTGCTTCCTTTTAACACAAACAATGTGCTTTATTTTCTAGTATGAGAAGGTCTTCCAAGTGAAGTAGTTTTATTAAGGCACAACCAACACTAAAGAAACACTGTGTGTTCCAGTAGCTCTCAAGCAAGCCACCTTTACCCCACCAAGGGAACTTAGGCAAGCCTCTTGTAGCAGGTGAACACAAGATTCTGTTTGTCCAGCAGCATTCATGTCATTCGTCACCTACCTTTCAGGAGGCTTGTCCACTAGAGTGGTCACATGCGAGGGGGTAAAGGGTGGCGACAGGGGTGAAGGAGGAGGAACTGCAGCTGGATTGGCGCTTGGAGTGGTCGGAGACTGCGGGTTAAGCCACTGGACCATGGGTGACCGGGTCTGGCTTGAGCTAAGGGTACAAGGTGACAGCACAGGATTAATAGCATGAAGTTGGCTCAATACACACCACACATCCCACTCCTAAATGGCCAGTATGTTAACTCCTTTCTCTTTTCCATTCAATGGGCTCCAGATCCTGTTCGTAGCTTCGGCAACCCTGAGGCTAGACACAACTGCAAACTGGAGATTTTTTTCGTATACTTCTTAAACGAGTAGCAAAGTGAGGATCAGCTCTGACCTAGGGGCTGTAGCCATTGCTCTTGCCTCAGTGGGAAGGTCATTTCCTTAACCCTCTTGTTTAGACCTCACAGGCCAGGCAGAGGGCCCACCACTGGGCACCCAACTGAGATGTTCTAAGCCTCGAATCAGATCTTGCAAGTCAGCAGCATGACAAACTGCATTACTGATTTGATGGGGAAGCAGCACCCAGAGGTTCTCTCATCCTACAGCCAGAACAATAGGGAAGTCATTTAAAACACATTATTCTTTGGAGAACTGATTTACAAGCCTCCCACCAGGCTGTTCATTTGAGAATCAGAGAACCTATCAGATCTGAAGCCAAGAAACCTATCCATCTTAAAGTGATCTGTACAACCAACCGAACACGAGCCTGTAATGATGCCTGACCCATCAGGAAAGGGAAAAGGGGATGAGTGAAACTCAGAGGGATTTAAGGCCACCGCTCACCAAACGACTGTCATTTTATTTCCTGACAAGGATTCCAAGCGCTTGGCCCACAGTGGCCGAGGAAGACAAGATGTTTCACCACACCCCTCTCCAGTCCTGCCAGTTATCAATCAACATAGTGCAAGCCTGGCCATCCATCTGCCCCAGGAGTAGACAGCCAGGGCATGAAGACAAAGGACTAACGCAGTTGTCTTTATAAGGCCCTTTAAAAATAAAGATCATACATCTTGTAGCTGTCTAATCTTGGCTTATTAAAAAAAAAATTTTTTTTTAATCTTAGCATTCTTGTTTTTCTTTGCAAAGCAAATACACCCCTTAGATTTTGGAAAGCAAACAGGGCCTGTGCACCCTGGCCTGGCTTCCATCTTACCCCACTACAGGAACTGGGGACTCGCACAGTGTCCAGGGTAGGTAGCCTACCTAGGGTTAGGGAAGCAGAGCACAGGAGCTGCTCAGACGGAAGACACTTCACACAGGCCTTATCCCCTGGCAAGGAGTGGGCATGAGGCCACAAGCGAGGAAATTAAATGTGGCTGAATCACAAAACAAACCCACACTCCTGCCAGCAGGGGTCAGGGGATGGCAGGGCTCGTCTGCATCTCCCCAAAGCAAACTGTCTGCACTTTTTGTTTTAAAGGAAAAAGAAATTTTAAACACAAGATTTATTATTTAACTGCTACTTCCCAGGACTAGGGTAATGGGGTGGGGAATGTAATAAGCACAATTTGGGGGGAAAAAAGAACCAGTTAAATCTTTAATATTATATTTTCTCTGAAAGCTATAGAGAAAAATAGCTTTTAAAATGATTTATTATTTATATTGCAAAGACAGATATACAGAGAGGAGGAGAGACAGAGAAGATGATCTTCCATCTGATGGTTCACTCCCCAAGCGGCCACAACTGCCGGAACTGAGCCGATCTGAAGCCAAGACTCAGGAGCCTCTTCTGGGCTTCTCATGTGAGTACAGGGTCCCAAGGCTTTGGGCCGTCCTCGACTGCTTTCCCAGGCCACAAGCAGGGAGCTAGATAGGAAGCAGGGCAGCCGGGGTTAGAACCAGTGCACATATGGGATCCCAGCGTGTGCAAAGTGAAGACATTAGCCACCAGGCTACTGTGCTGAGCCAAGAAAAATAGTTTTGTAAGAAACTTTCTGGGGCTGTCACTGTGACACAGCTACTTAAGCTGCTGCTTTCAAGGCCTGTGTCCCACACCCTAGTGCTGTCTCAAGCCTTGGCTAGTCCACTACCAATCCAGTTTCCTGCGGCTGTATCCAGCAAAGCAACAGAAGACAGCCTGAGTACTAGATTCCCTACTATCGATGTGAGAGACCCGGATGGGGCTGCTGGATCCTGGCTTCAGCCCAATGCAGAGCTAATAGTTGTGGCCATTAGGGAAGTAAGTGAAATCTCTTTTCTTCCTTCCCTTTCTCTCTCCATCTCTGTCACTCTGTCATTCAGATAAATCAATCTTTAAAGGAAAAGAGATATTTTAAGAATCTCCATTCTTTGACCTTCAAGATTCTCAATAAACACCATGCATTCTGGCAAGGCAGTTCAAAGCAGAGAGACAGTTTTTCCTCAACCAGGGCTCTCAGAGAAAGCTGACCTCTCAAGACAATGGTGTACCAGATGAAGTGACCATCTCCTTTAAGCATCAGGAATGGTCCTAGCCATCTGGGTGTTGAGAGTTTACCGCTATGGACTCTCATGTCCCTAGACTCTCATGTCTCATCCAGCAAGCAAAAGCCTCGGACCAAATCTTCAAGGGCATTTGTAGAGCAAACAGCATGGCAGAGAAAGATTGGACTGGGTACATTTCTCCAGAGCAAACAGAAGGCTCTACTGGGAATGATGTGGGTTTTCTGAGCCCTGGCTTCCTCTCCTGTCACACCTCACACACAGGTGTCACCTGGCCCATGTTCCATGATCGTGTGCTGACACGTGGGGAACACCGACTCTTGGCTACTTTCACAGGTCTGACTGGCAGAGTCGCTGTTCTACCAGGAACCCCCTGGTTTCTGCCAACAGGTGAGAACCCGCGGCAGGCTTATGTAGGAGCACAGCAAAGTTGCAGACCCTTGGCTCTGACCATCTCATACTAGGGAGAACTGTGGAAAATAGTCACTCAGAATTTTTTTTTTCTTTTCGATTCTGTGGTTCAGAGAAGAACCCGGGCTGACAAAGTCATTGGGTCAAAGAGCAGAACTCATGGGTGACATCAGAATAAACTGTACACTGCATCCCTGTCACTCCCCAGAGTCAAACTCTGCAAAAAGAAAAATTTGCTTTCCTTCTTCCTGCCGCTCCTTTAATGGCGGACTTTTGATTAGTCAGGCTGGCAGGAGCACAAACCACCAATTCTATTGAATCATGCGCTACTGACCAATTACAGAAAGAACCCAAGTGCCACACATTTCTGCAAAGCCAAGCTGTAGTTCACAAAACATGAAGGAAGAAGTCCGCTCTCCCCCTGCACAAGCTCAGAGAGCACAGTTACCAGAACAGAAACTACCGGTATCTGTTCACTGTCTTCCCAAGTGAAAACGCTCAGCTCCAAGACTCTTCTCTGAAAACAGGATTTGGAGTGCCAACATCGAAACCTTCCTTTGGGGTTGGAGAACTGCTTTCTTCTCAATGAGGACACCTAGAAACAAGGGTATCTCCCAAAAATCAGAGGATTTTGAATCATGAATGCATTCCTGAAAGCACTCTCATTGAAGGTCTGCTTGCCTATAATCCTAAGGCAAACCAAAGCTTCCTTTCCTTGGTGGGGTGTGGTGATGCAAGATTTAGGGAAGACAACGACCCCTGCTATAAAAACAATAAACACTCTTGTTTTGGAAAAAAGATGCTAGGATGTGAAGGAAAGAGCTCATAGATTTTGCAATGCCAGAAAGGAGGGAAAAATGAAAGTATGAATTTAAAATGGGAGGCTGTAAATGTATACATACTAATGTGTATGTTACAAATTTTACATTTCGAGTTTATTTTTGTAAAAACTCAACAAATCAACAGTCCCTACTGCTTCTGATTCAAACCGTGACCCAGCCTTGCCCAGCACCAGACTTCATGCTCCATGCATATTAAAAACTTTCTGGCAACCAAAGAGCACAGAGGCTCCAGAAAGGGAGGGAAAGGGGACAGCTTAACTGTTAAAACTCAACACCAGCTTACTAATCCCAGGGGATGCCTGCAGGAACAAGCATTTTTTGCATGGCACACAGGGATGAGCTGTGGGCAGTGCTGCTGATACAACTGCCCAATTCCAGGTTCCAGGAGCACCAGGTGCCACTGAGAACTCAAGGGACATAGCAAGAAGAGAAGTTGGACCCAAGGACAAACCGTTGCCTATTTGAAAGCACAGAATCCTCCAAATACCCACACGTATGACCACATAAGAGATGAAATCAGGATCCATGCAGAAGTCCAAGCCAGAAGATCCTACAGGCTCATTTGCAAAGCCTCAGGGCAGAAGCTAACTCATCAGTAAAATAATCCTCACAAAGATCTGGAAACAGGCAGCACGTTCCAGAACAGCCATCCTAGGCGAAAGGGTTCAAAAACATTAATAAAGACACAAAGACGCCTTGTAGACCTGCACATTATGGGAAAGTCTCTGCTCAAATAAACGCCACATCTATTTCTTAAGTGAGGCATTCCACAGCAAGCCAATAGCTTGCTTCTTAGTGAGTGAGTTCAGCAAGGCAGAACTGCAACAATCTTATAACAAGAAAGTCAGAGAATGGGGGGAGCAGGCCTTTCAAATCCAGAAGGACAACCTGGAATTGACTCATTCCCTCATTTCTTACGGCCAGAGAGCCCTATCAGGCCCTTAGGACAACTAAAGGTACAACCTAGGTACAACTAATGACTCAAGTACCTCTCTTGGGTTCACAGCCAAGTGAGTGGGGAATGACCAATGAATAACCATCACAGGATGAGTGCCAATAGTTCCCTCAGAGACAACAAGGAGGAAGCATACAACCACCAGCAGCTCATCTAAGAAGGCTTTCTGCTGGAGGCTGAACCTGCTGGCTGGATGTTGCTGTTGTCAGTATCATCCCCACCTCTGCACATCCAGGTGCAGGCAAGCCACACAGCATACGCAGCCAGTACTGTGCCAGTTTTCTCCAGCACTAATTCACTCATCCTTAGTGGTCCCATTGCTCCATGTCACACACAAGAAGACTGGACCTTGGTAACCTTACTCAAGCTTAAGTCAGCAGCAAACCCTGTCTTGTCAAGGCAGCAAGGCACTCCTACTCTCAAGTGTTTAGGTGGCTGGGACCAAATGTGAGAGCAGGAAGCAGGGAGGGAAAATCC